TCTTCTAGTCAAAAGCCTTTTTCGTGCAGTGTGGGATCTGATAAGAGTTTCGGTGCGTTTAAAACCCACCAGAGTCTTTGCAGCGATGTGCGGCTGATAAAACACTGAACAGGTGAAACGTGATTAGAGTTTAAGCCGTCGTCAGTTTCTAGCTGCAGGTTTAATCTCAGTTTGAGTGAAACGTGGTCTGAAGTACATGATGTGTTTAAGGACTCGTAATGACTCGTCTCAAGTGTCTGCAGGACTACGTCTCAGAGAGGTGATCAATCAGATGGACGGATGGAGGATTCGATTAAGTGTCGCCGTGTGATTTACGTGCAGCATAAAAGCTTCGTGTTTCCTCTGAAAGTCTTCTGACAGCAGCAGTGATTTAACGCCGGCTGACCCGGGATCAGTTCTGACGGCAGAAATATTCTCTGGCTCGGCTTCAGACTCCAACCATCAAAGCGCTGCGGGTCACATGACTCGGCTGGAGCAGCTTCACACATGAAGCCGGATTCTTCCTGCAGCAGGTCGACATATTGGCCGGCTGCTTCTCTGAGGTCGGCCACAGGTCTCACGTGTTACCTGAGCAGGTGACGGTCTCCTGCTGCAGCCCTAAAGCCTCGGGATGACAGAACTGCTCTCTGTGGTGCAGAGAAACGAGACTTTTTAACCTCAGCCAGTGTTTTTGGAGACGGCACTGATGATGGTGAGTCATTGTAGAAAACAGAGCAGTTTGTTCATCTTCAGGTCAGGCTGAGAGGAGATATAAACAACCATCTTAATAAGGTCAGTTTATGTCTGACTGAAGAGGAATGAGCTCCTCAAACGTCTCCATCTGGGCGGGTTCCCAGTTATCCAGGTCATGGTGGTCCGAACAGCTTCAGAGGAGGACACCCGGACGTCACAAAGCTCCAGCGAGACACAAAAACGACCACAAAGACACGCAAACGACCACAAAGACACGCAAATGACCAAAACGACCACAGAGACACGCAAACGACTACAAAGAGACACAAAACTACCAACATGACCACAAGGAGAAACCAATCAACTACAAACTACAACTACAAAGAGCCACAAAATGACCACAAAACAACCAGACAACCACAAAGAGACGCAAAATAAAAACAAAGTGATGGAAAACAACCACAAACAGACTCAAAACTACCAAAACAAACCACAAATAGATTCACAACAACCACAGTAAGACACACAAAACCCTCAAAACAACCACAAACAGACTCAAAACTACCAAAACATCCCAACGAGATGCAAAAACTACCACAAAGACACGCAAAGCAACTACAGTGAGGCACAAAATGAAAACAGACGGATGGAAAACTACCAAAACGACCACAAAGAAACACAAAAGCTGCGAAAGAACTACCAACGAACTACAAACAAACTCAGAATGACCACAAAGAGACACAAAGCAGCTACTGACAGGCACAAAATGGCCACAAACACATGCAAAACTACCAAAACGATTACAAAAGAGACGCAAAACCACTTTCAAAACTCCCAAAAAGACCACGAAAAAACATGCAAAGCAATCACAACGACCAGCAAAAACTACCAAATCAACCACAAAGAGACACAAAAGCAGCAAAACAACAACAACAAGATGCAAAACTACCACAAAGACACACAAAGCAACTACAATGAGGCACAAAATACAAACAAAGAGACGGAAAACTACCAAAACAACCACAAAAGCTGCGACAGAACTACAAACGAACTACAACTAAACTCAAAACTACCAAACATCCACAGAGATCTTCGGTTCTGAGGAAGCTTCTTGGAGGACGGTGAAGACACTGAAACTTTCAGGCTTTTTAAAACTTATTTCACTCTCAGATATTTGTTTCTTGTTCTTCTTCTTTCTTCACAGACAGTCGAACCGTTTGTGGTTTTTCCATCTTTTTGTGGCCGTTTTCCGTCTCTGGTTGGTTGTTTTGCGTCTCTTGATTCTCTGCAGTTCTTAACGAGTCTCTTTGTGATCATTCCTTGTATCTGCAGGTGTGTCAAGGCTCTTTGTAGTCTTCTACCTGAGCTCTGCTGTCCGGCCCCTTAGCGTTAGCCTCACCTAGCTAGCTTAGCCAGAAAGTCACCTTATTACAACGTTGATGCTGCAGTTCATCAACGCGATGATTACCATTTGCAGTCAGACAGCAGGAAGGTGTTTAATTTACCTGTATGGGCAGCTACACTCCTGTAACTCCATCTTATGAAACAGTGCCACCTGGTGGAACAACCAGGTACTACAGCTAACCTGAAACACGTTCTCTGACATTCTTAAATGATTAAATTAGTCGAGTCCTGCACTTTAAACTGAGCTCGCTGCCGGCTGCTTTTAAAACACAGAAGCAAAAACGGGCTTTTATTTACGGCGTGATTTAAACTTCTTTGCGATAAACCAGCGTTTTGTGCAGGATCCTAAACTTTACAGACGAACTGTGCCTGTAGAAAATATTCATCCTGTTTGGAGGTTCTTGCTTTTCAATACTGAACTACAGTCAATTAATTTGGCTTTTTTTTGTAAGTTTGTTGGATAAATTTACAAAAATAAAAACAATGTCAGAATGAAGACAGATATGAACAAAGTTGTGTCAACTGAGTAAAACCACAACAGAAGTAATTACATCTACTTATCATTAATTAACTGACATTAATTTCTAGAAACCTGCTTCCACTGTGACATTAGTGGCTGTTTTTTTCTGTAAATTCTTGCAGAACAGTCCTGATTTTTCAACCATGATTTCATACTGAAATGCAACAGAAGGGGAAACCTCCCGTGCAAACTTTTCACGAGCTCCGTAGATCCTCTGCATGCACGCTGGACTTACAGACTCTGAAGCCCGGTCCGTGGGCTCCGTCTCGCCGCCCTCCTCCCTCGGCGCTGCTGTACAGCGTCGTCACGTTGCCTCTCTCGCAGTAGTTGACACATCGGTCCTGGCTGCAGCGCACCTTGCAGATGGTCGGCGTGAACATCACCTGGATCCTCTCCACGCCGCCTCCTCCTCCTCCTCCCGCCGCCGTCTGACCGGCAGCTGGCGGAACAGAGGCGAAGGTCAGCAGCAGAAAACAGCAGAGCGGCGGCTGCAGCAGCATGTCGAGGAGTTGCAGTCAGAGCTTGTGCTGCATCGCCGAACACTCCCCTCCGCTCTGGCGCTACCTCGCTGTGGTCGGGGGAAATCGAGCGTCGCAGGAAAAAAGGAGGGAAGGAAGGAAGGAGGGAAGGAGCAGGCTTCCCCCTCCCCTCCACTCGGCTCGGTTTTTCCCTAAACACTCCTGAGTGTGAGCGAGAGAGAGCGAGGTAGAGAGATAATTGAAAGCAGTGTGCAGGACTGGGCTCGGGTCCAAACAAAATGTTTAGCAGGGATCTGGTCCATCGGTCCACAGCGAGAGAGCGAGCACCACGACGCGAAGCTCTCTCGCTCGCTCCTCTTCCTCACTCCTGTTCCTGTTTTATTGGCCGCTCTCGGTACGAACAGAGGCCCTGTATCTCTGCACACAGTTTCATAACACAACACTGGAGCACGTCAGGCTGATGATGCAACCCCAGTTTTGGGTTTCAGGGGGTCCGGTTCACCCAGAATCTCCAAGCAGCTGCAGAGCGCAGAGTGAGGCTCAAAACAGCCGCACAAGACGACGTAAAGAGACACAAAGCTACCAAAACAACCACAAAGAGACACAAAACTACCAAAACAACCAAACAAGACGACGTAAAGAGACACAAAGCTACCAAAACAACCACAAAGAGACACAAAAC